AGGATGATTTAAAAAAACCGGACAGATTTTGTGAAACAGAAACTGGGATCATTGCTTGCTCCATCGTTCGAAACTAGCAATGTTCACGAACACTGCCTTATTTGGTGTTGGGTGTTCCTGTCCTCAACGCAGAGCCAAATGAGCAAAGAACAGGGTTCAAAACCTTTTCTTAACAGTTTTGCATGCTTGTTGAGTCACCTAGTTCTTCCCCACGTACTAATCGGACGGAATTAGGTCCTAGCATGGTTCTGATGGCAAAGCACTGTTGGTTTTTGCGACCAAAATCGAGAGTTTATGGAACAAATAGTTGACCGGTAATCAAGGAGAGCAACCGAAGCTGCTACGCACCTCTAAGCCACTGGGCAAAAATTCCATTCCCGTCCCCACTAGCGCCTTGAAAATGAATTATAACTTTTTGACCAACTAGGGCCTATGGGCGACAGATGTTGCTCAAGGCAAGACACATATGTACGCTCTTGCTACAGTTCATAATCATTCACAATTTAATGAACGAGTTGATTCGTTCACTGAACTGCTCCGAATTTTTATTAAGTTCATAAAAATCACTCATTAAGGAATCCGCTTTTCTTCGAAGCTTCCACCAAAACCGGCTTTTTGCCCGTCAAAATATTCTGCAGACGTTCCTGAAAATAGCAAGTTCTGCACAGCAGCTGTTTATTTGTGCACACCTGTGATTTGTAGACTTCTAGCCACCAGGAGTTTTAGGCGCATTCCTATTTGCCTACTCTCTAGCTACGCAGGTGGATAGGTAGATTAGAGAGCTCATAAAGTTTTTTTTAAATATTCATTGATCATGTAGAGGTAGGTTGAGACAACCTCAAAGCAAACAAGTTCTTCCAACAGGTCTTAGAAAGGCTTGGAAAGGGCTCACAAGGAGTTACAGTGAGGCAGTTCGCAAAGGGTTAAGCTTACGACGCGAAAAATTGAAAAATTCAAACTGCACTTTGCAAGAAAAGTTCCATCCTTCAGTTTATGCATTGTAGCACGATAATATACCACCATTAACCAGTATGCTCATCATCTCAACCCTTCACCCCCCCCCCCGCCTCCACAAAGCGATCTCATTTACGTTCCCTATAAGCATCCGTTTGAGACAACGGCGGCCTTGAGAAATGCTCTCTCTGAGATGGTTGACCTCCCTGATAAGGCCAGCAACAGGAATTTACACGAGGCAAAACACTACCTTCAAACCATATCTGATGCTATTGATTCTCATCACGAATCTGATCTATTTCCTCCTGTTTTTTATCCACAGTCGAGGCGGGTCCTTCTATTTGATCTCGAGCTTCAACCAATGCATCCGATAACTCGGACAATTCCTGTGAAAAAAAGCTTCAGAAGAAAGAAAATAATAGCTATCGAAGCTGAAAAATGCATTATCATCACATGAACCATAGCATAGCATATGATCAACACGGTTAACATAAGGTTAGAACAGTTCAAGGGTCTGTTGTCCGACGGGGGGACATCTGCTGACGCAACCGTTCAATCTATCATGAACAAAAAAGATTACGTTAGAATCTATCGTATATACTTAAGCTTTCAGACAATTAACAAAATAAAACAAGTCAAGAATTATGACACTTCCTGAGCAGGATCTTACCTAGTTACTTTGCACGTGTCTATTTTTTCCTATTCAAAAGTGGCGCAATAGCAAAAGGGAGAAGATTATAAGTTCAGGAACATGAGCGGTACACCGTAACCCTCTCGACGTGGAGCGTTGGCACTGGGGCGCGCAATGTCACGTGTCATCGATTTTCCATGCGTGCTCGCCTCCCACTTCTCGTTTTCTCTGCGCTCTCTCAACGAGGAGAGAATGCGTCGAGCAAACTCGCCAACTATACTAAGCGCCGTTGATGAAGAAGGCGGAGGCCGCGCGCATCGGAACGGCCTCACGTAGGATGAGGCGGCACGTGGGGGATTACCTCCCTGTCCACGCGCAGCGTTCGTCTCGAGGTGGACGCTGCGACGCCGCTCCATTTTTGGATTGCTACCCTGAGCCGGGGCAGCCTCATTGGTTGCAGTCGCTCGGACCTTAGCGCTAGCGTTGAGCGATGGAGGCCTGCAACTGCACTCCTGCACCGACGCGGGTTACGGTATACAACCTGTTTTCCTGAACTTATAATCTTGTGCGAGAGGGCACCTTCTGGGACTGAGCCTGGAAGGAATGGGCAGGAAGCTCCGGGGAAAATGAAAATTAGTCACGCATGCTGAAGCCAATGGTCAGGTTCTATCCTGTTTTCTCTCATTAGCAAGTTGTATCAGCAGACGACCCCCCGTCGAACAACAGACCCCAGTTCAGAAATGCATTATTACTCCGGGAACCCAACGAGATTCACTCTGCATTTTTGCAACCAGAAAGTCATTGCGCCCATGACACATACCACCAAACCATCACTCGTCATGTCGTTCAAAGTATGAAATATGAATCAAATTAAATAATTCCGAGTCGCACAGTCCGCTCGCTGAATGAAGGTGTGATGACAAATATTCCTACACGACTACTTCCCGCCCTCCGCTCCCCCCCCCCCCCCAAAAAAGCAGACCCTTCTTCTGTCACCACCATCGAGCTCAAGGAGACCTACCGTCTTCGCTCCAGTCTACTGACTATGCAACACTCCTTCTAGTATTTCAGATAAGGTCTAGGCCGTAATGGTCCCCGATTCGTCGTGGACGTCGTTGAGAAACGTGCACCATGTTCACGTGAGAAAATCTTCTGATGTCGACTGGATAGAGGGCTATTACGATGCTCTCTGATAGACTGGGAAGTGCTGTTCAATTTGTCGTTAAGATCATTCGGTTTGAATTCAGCAAACTGTAAGGGGTTTCAAGGCTCTAGATGTCTTGGCTAAATTGTTTTCGGTAAAGAGAATTTCATTCATATGCTTACTTGCTCAGCTTTTTCTCCTGTCTTCTTCTCTTCCAGGTATGGTTGCAATTCCTTGGTGAGCTGAAAAACGAAATTGGTTTTCATCAATTGGCATGTTATTTGTCTAAACTCTGACTCGTAACCTCTCGTAGTGCGTCCTCTTGCAGCTGATTCCCGCTCCTTACGTTGTTCAATCGACGAAAATATGTGGTCAATCAGAGCTCCGGCAGCCTGCAATCACTTCTTGTTACTTCCTTCTACGGTCAGATATATGGGAACACACCTGTTTGCTGTTTTCCCTCTTCTGATCAAGTCCATTCTGCAACTGCTGAGGCAGCGCGCATGACTAAAATGTAACATTTTAGCCATTTGAGGTCACATAAAAGAAGTTTTCAACCAGCTTTTCGCCATTAATCGGCTTGTACTCCAAAAATCAATGGGCTACAATTTGTATGAAAACCTTTGGAATGGCAGCGAGAAGGTATGATGCCGACAGAATCCACAGTAACATCAGTGTAGCTATGGCAAAGATGTGTGCAGGTATGACAAAGTCTATCAATAGGCAATGTAAACAATTACGTGTTATCAGTCAGGAGGGTGGGATGGAAACCACAGGCGGCAAGCAATCCCGGCACAATCATCGAAGAGCAATACTCACTGATCATCCTGATCAGGGTCAACCGTCCGGTGGACACAACGGGAGGGGGGTCATATGTGGCCGACGGGAAGGAAGGGGGTCGTATTTGCAGGAGTCAACGTCGCAATGCGTGGAATGACGCAATGTAACACAGATGAGAATAAAGCTCTAGGCTCAGGCTCACAGCATTAAACGATTAGAATGAGGACGTTTGCTGTCGCGACAGTAGGTGAGGGGTATAACTTTCGAGTGCTTCTCCAACTATTAACCACAAACGAGTGCATGGCGCACCTCAGAGCAGAAGAGTCTACTGCAGAAGTGTCCATATTTGACTGTTCACGTACACAAATATGCTCTCGAGGAGAACCAATGTCTTCAAACTGGACCTAAGTTTGTAAAAGATATTCGTATTTGGAGGGGAGTGGCTCTTGAAATTATACA